CAAGATGGTTTCTATGCTCATTGTTACGATGTTGTCCGTACCCACATTAGTTCGTTCATTGGTAAACCTACCCTAATAGCATGTTTGGCATACGTTTCGCACCTGTCAAATGTAACGTTATGCTCCAGGACTGGTTTGTTTCACGTACTCACAGCTAAATGATATGTACTGGAGTGGTGGAATGCGTCGACAACTTCTCTTACTTGAGGAGTTGCATCAGCTCGAATAGGCTCGTAAGTGACGAAATCTCATCTCGAATAATGATCACCCATTCGGTGTTTTCCAATTTGCGTTATCTCTGGTGACGTCTAACGAGATATCTTACTATCTATGAAAAGCTGAAAATACTGGACTGCAGTCCGTTTTGTCCAGTATTTTATAGGTTGTGTTCAGTCCCTCTTCTCGTTGTTCATCCCTGCACTGCACTGCTTCACCATCTTGCCCTCCCACCAACTTCCATGTGGGGATCCATTCCTTGCCTTGTCTTGCTTCTTCTTCCTTTCTAATACAGTTACCCAGGTTTCTTCCCACATCTCTTTCTAAGATTCTCAGTGTTTTTCCACACAGGTTTCCTTTAGGAGGTCGTCTAATGTCTCCCCTCTTTTCCTGATGCTGACGTGAAAATGTTCTTAGTAGTTTCGTCCTTCAGTTTCTGTTTTGGGTGTTGAACTGGAACTGTGGTCTATCACCAGCTTGTTTGAAGGCTTTCAACTTGGTTTTGAAGGTAGGTTCGCTGCAATAGATAGTGAGTGAGTGGTGTTAACCTACATCTGCTCCCCTTCTTGATCTGATCTTGTGTTTAGTAGGCTGACTGCGTCTCGACTTTCTTGATATTGAGATGAAGTCGATCTGATTTTTAGTGTAGTGTGTCTTGGTGTCTGGTGAAGTGAAATCCGTATCGGTCGCTTTGTGAGTATCTTTGCGTTTGTACACGGTGCCTGCGATCGCGGAATGATTAGATGCTCAGAAGTCTGCAAACAGTTCTCCATTCTCATTCGTGATTTCACCGAGTGCCTCTCGACCCATGACTGGTTCTCTTCCTGTGTTGTCTGCTCCGAGTTTGGCACTGATGTCACCCGACTCATTAGAATTTTGATGTCACCACCTGGGGTGGAGTCTTGTCGAGTGCTGACTGTAGTTGTCTCTGTAGAATTTCTTCTTTTCTTGGTCCGCGTCTGCATTATTTGTAGGTGGATATCGTAGCATTGTAGCGTATCATTGTAAATTTGTTTTGTTCTTACTGTCATGATGTTGATCGTGGAGGAGATTGGTTGGCGCTGCATGAGAGCCTTTGATGCTGTTGGGGACATCATGATAGCGACTCGAGAACTCAGTGTGCTCATGGTTGTTATCTGGGTGACAATATCATCATCGGAGTAGATTATTGAGTTTGCAGTTGACAGTTTGGAGAGTCGACTTGTATTGCATCTGATTTCTCAGATTCGTAACACTTCTATGCTATACCTTCTCATCTCGTTTGCAATCCGTGCAGTGTTTCCAGCCATCCATCTTCAGACGTTGTGCAGACATTCGATGTCCCCATGTTTACTTTCACGTTCATAAAGAGAAGATACATGGACCAATTGGCTTCCCGAAGGCTTTCACCAAGTGGTATGATTTTGTTTTCCCGATTCCAGTGAGGAATAAGTTTATTTATTATATATTCTGTGTGGTTTGTAGTATTTTTGGTGATTGTATTGGTTTTCTGAGGTGGAGTTGCTAGCGGTTTGCCCAACCTTCCTTGTTTATCCGGGCTTAAAACCGGCTAGTAAATTAGGCGAGGTTGTAACCTGCATTACTTAATTACAATTTTATTCTCATAATCCTTTGTCTGTTTTCCCACTCTAGACCTAAATATGTATTAACTAACTTTTTTTTAGTTATTCAGTATATTTCGCCCCCTAACCGAAAATAATTCTTGAACGTTCTACCCACTGAAACATACATTCACGAGTGTACAGCTTAGCAGTAAATGACTTCGTCGAAAAGAAAAACGTTTCTTCACTGACAATATTTGTTGTCTTTTCTTATGAACAAATGGGTGTATTCCGCTACACAAGATATTATATAGAAGCAGTCAGGTAACGCATACTGAAATTTGCTGAATTGTTAGGCATTCGTAAACTTTAGTCCCCGTTTTGTATACAAAAGCAATTATTCCATCATCATTCATCCAAGTCAATATAGGACCAGGCATTATCGTGTAACGGTCTGAGGTGTCACACCTCATATCAGTAAATCAATTAAAAAGGCAGTGAAGTGAAAGATGAAGAAAAGATAATTCAGTCAAAAGAAATATAAAGTACTAAAAGAGAGAGAGGAAGGATGAGAAAATGGTGAGATTCGGTGTAGCGTCGTTAAGATGTGGATAATGTGTGTGTGGATACATCTGCAGTACTGACATCGGTTCTCAGCCATGTGATCACCTAAAGGCAGTCTCCAACAACCACTGGTTTCTCTTGTCCATGGACCCCAACCGGCTAGTCTGCATCACCGTACATAGCTGAAAGCAACAGTTGAGAACTTCGTACATTGATGCCATGTTTTGGTCTAACCGCCTCGTGCCTTTTTTCATCCTGAACCTACTTCAGCCAACATTGTGTGATGAGGCAGACGGTGACTAGGCATGTGTAACATGTTTCCCAATCATTTCAGTCGATGAAGGTTCACAACCTTGTCAACTGACTCGACTGACCTCTTCTCCCTAAAACTCTACACCTGAATTCCGCGTTACTTGCGCGGTGACACAGAATACGGCAACGGTGGTCAAACACCTGAAGCAATCCTTGGTAATCTGATTATATTACCAATGCTAGTGTCATGACCTCATATTCATTATATTTGACCTTTCATTTTCATACATAAATTGACTTGAGACAAGTGAATGTGTGTGGGGGATCAGATTGTTCAAAATGTTTTATTGCGCAAATGCATCACACACATTGTTCAGATAATCCTTCATATTCTAATAACCATATCAGAAATTAACTTTGTTGTATTCGTCTTGATGACTAGTCTTAGGATTTTATTTGTAACTCATTGGTTGGGTTAACCTGCATCCTCAAAGTGAATGATCCTGTTCCCAGTAAGACTCGAACTCAGTATGCATCGCTACAAAATACCAAAGCGTTAATTACTAAAACACGAGATGCAACTCTTGCTCGTTATAAACATGCTTGTTTGTTTTGTGTACACTGTAGGCTAGTCACTCACAGAATTTGCAATCAGTGCCAACTTATTCATCTGAACATTTAAACCGTCGTCATCAGCAACCGCAAGACAATCCTGGTAACAGTCAAATGTCATATCAATTTAATTCGAATGCATTTAAAACAGGTTTTAATGATGAAGATGTTCCACGTAAAACGCAATCATATTATGAAAATGTCAATGAACCAGTATCTATTAAGGTGTGTTGAATACATTTGACTATATTGTGTGTAATTACATTTGAATCCTTCGCCTGGAATTTTCCTGAACAGCATTTTCATCCCAGTCGGTCATTGGTTCAAGCTGTACTCCGTCCAACGAGTTTTAAGCTGCCATGTAGTAGTAGGTGTGGCTAGTTGTTTACTGTAGGATGTGAAGTGTATCTTGAATACTGCGCTACAAACATGATGGTCACTGAAAGCGGCTTCTGGCATTTGACCACTATTGCCTTCATTGCATAAACCATGTGTCATGGTTTCACCACGTTAGTAAAGGCTTTCAACCTTCATCGATTGAGATGGCTGGGACATGTGTTACACGCAAGCCTAATCATCGTTTTTCTCGTCGCACAATGTTAACTGAGGTAGATTTCGGCTGCATCGACTCAAGTTGCCACACACTACACAGTAGTATACTCAGAACAAGTGGGATAGAAAAAGATGGATATCATTTGGCTACCCAAAGAGAGTTGTAGTTGCTCCTACCACATCTAATGTGAAGCATTGATCCGATTTTTTGCATTTTATTGTAGAACAGTCACATTTAGACATTTGATAGCCAATAATGAGTAGTTGTTTTGTTTGTAACCTTTTGATAAACCTAAGAAAATGTAGAATTTCAATGCATATGATAACTTGTAGCCTTGGATCGATATTTAGATTTCTATGGATGCATGAAGCGCTGTGTGTCGAAGATTCATCATCAGCTCCACTTGGTAGGATTTGAACAGGCGACTACAATGGGTGTGTCTCATCATGTGTTATATAAAAAGGTATGGCGTTGTTAAAACATAGGCAGACAGAATTGACGTAGAACCTCGCACAAAAGTACATCGGTCCAACCTGCCACACTCCATACTAGTATACAAAGAACAGATGGATAGAAAACGGACGGATATAGAAGTAAACGATGGTGTATGGAGGGGAGACAACAGAAACAGTTTGAAGATGAAGGTTAGTGCGACTGGTCAAACTTTAGAAGACGTCAAGGAAGGAATAATTCTGCGTCATTGTGACCGATTTTCACGCATGTCATGAAGGGTCTCCAACCGTTGATTCTTATGGTCCCATGGATCCCAGGCAGGCAATCTGTATTTCCCTACATGACTCATACCAACAGTTAAGGACTTAATGGACTAGTTTCACGTCTAGGTCTGATCATCCTGAGCCTCCTATCAAGCTGATCAACTTCGCTTAGCACTGCACGTTAAGGTTGGCGGTGACTTGGCATGCGTGACACACGTCCAAGCCACTTTAGTCACTGAAGACCCAAAACCTCATTAACCTACTTACCTATTGCCCTTCGCTCAACTGTGACATCACCCAGATGATTTCATAATACATGAGCAGTGGTACAAAGACCACTTGTGGTTACAAACTTGTAACCTCTTGATATCTCCATGTCACACAGCCGTATAACAGAATAGAACATACTGCAGCGCTGTATACTAATGTATAAGGCTTTCTTGTATTTGTCCTCCAGCATTTAATTCTAAAACTTGATATTATTAGTTAGAAACTCTCAAGTTTTGCATGCATAAACTCTGTTCTTCTAACAATTTCTTATTCAAGGTACATCCTATCACCTCATCATCAACCAGCAGTAATACCAATAACCATCACCATCAGTTTGAAAGAGAACAACAGTCATCACCAAACTGTTCTGATAAAAAATATCATGAGAATACTTCAACAACAAATGAAACTCAACCATCATCATCCTCGTCAATACCTATTAAATCAGAGCATGCAGAATGTCATGATAGCAATGAAACAGCACAATTATTAGATCCAATGTCTCTCATAGAACATGCTCAAAGTGAACTTGAAGAATTGAAAGCTAAGATTATTGATTATTTTCGTAAGTTCATTTGACTAGCATTCACTTTGATTTCATGAATGCAATAAGCTACATCTATTTTGTAAGTGCTAATGGTACTCACTACCTGGCGTTGCAAACCTCTTTAGGATGAAGTGGGGTTTGAACTCATGGCCAACTAATCATGAACAAACGTTGGAAACTTGGGAGCACTGATCAGCTGTTTCGCCTTAGTATGGGACTCCTCAGCAGCACGCACCCATCACCTCGCCCCCCCCAGGGGTCTAACTCAAGACCTTCAGGTTTCATGGACGAACGCGTTAACCATTCACCCATAGTTTCCTACTTCTGTCAGCTCATGATTTAGTGCGATCTCCATCCAATGCCATCGTTGGGTGACCTCGCCGGTTACGATTTCTCATTGGGTTCGATCCCTAGCGGGATCATGGGTGCACACTGCTGATGCGTCCCATACTGGGATAGGTTTCCAATGTTTCGCTGATTGATGTCAGTCATTGCATGATAAATACCAACCTGAAATCAATCAGAAACCCCACAAAACTTCCAAATTAAGTCAGAATTATTTTTTTGACGTAATTATTTCATTATTTTGATGTTTTTGCTTGTTTTTTTGAATGATTCGATTACTTCTTATTCTTTGATTTCAATATCCCTGTTTACTTTTTCCTCTAGGGTGTGTGTTGATTCATGATAACCGATCTCTCCGCTTAACTATACTGAATGTTACGGTTGTGTTTCTATGCCAACCAATCATATGCTTTTGTATGAATGGGTGTATAGCGATAACTGATCTGTTACTTTAACTTACGCACTTAACTCTACAATCTTTATACAAAATAGTTGGATAAAATCTTTAAAGTGATAGGGTTTTGATGAAATCACCGTGTGAACCATATATATTCAGGTTTGTGATGCGAGGGGCACTAGGGAAGATAGGCCGGTAAGGCGCTTGATGATGGCTTAGACATGTACTACGTATACTTAGCCACCGCTTATCTCGACATGCCATGCTAGGGGAGATTGAATTGAGTTGGAAAAGGTTTCAGGGTAGCCGACTAGACCAAGACCTAGCAACAGTTCATGAGGTTCCTTACCGTTAGTTTGAGTTGCGTGGGAAGATGTTTACGTGAGTGGGGTCCCCAAAGCGATAGGAATCAGTGGTTGAGGTCTGTTCGTGAAATGGCTGGAAATCGGATCTCATGTGATGTAAATGTACTGTAAAATGTGACAACTTGTGGTGATGGACCTATGTTTGCGAGGTTTTACCTTGATTTTGTCTGTCTGTCAAAGCGTTTTGACTCTGAATAAGTTTGTAGGTTTGAATTCTACCTTAATTCATAGTCTTGTAATCAACGTAATATGTCTGAAGAAAAGTCTAATCGGGCAACCGAGAGGATTTATTGAAAAGTTGCAATCGGTAATAATGACAAAAAGTGCTACGCCTTTATAGTAAAGTCACATTTGAAGTTGTTGGTCATTAGTTTAGGGGGTTGACTTTCAGCCAAGTAGATCTCGAGTTTAGACAATCAGGCAACCAGGTAGTATCATAAATCTGCACTCAATAAGTGTGTGGCTTTTTACCCACTGCAAAACGTTAGTGAGTGAATATTGATATCGTGTCCTTTCCACCTACTGTCGCCCATCGCCGTCGAATCTTCATCAGTTGATTATTATCAGTACATTTTGTGTCTCCTGACTTTGAGTTATATACTACTGGTTTGCACCCTTATGAGTAGCGTTATACAGCGACATTATTGTTCCCCGAAACATTATCCTGTAAATAAAAGTATATTACAGCAGTGTGCTACATCAAACGAAACGTTTTACTCGGACATTCTTAGTGTGAATATTCCAACCTACGTATATGTACGCGAAACACTATGGAAGCTTATCATTCACAAGAACTATGAATCTTCTATCCTGCTGTTAACATTCAAGTTAAGTAGCTCATCGTAGACATTCTCTATCAGTGTAGACATAGTTTCATTGGATTCTACAGTATGACAGGCGAGCATTAACAGTAAAAGACTGATCTGATAAAAAACTGTTAGACTTGAACACTGTTGTAGAATGTAACTCCATTTCAGTTGATTTTTTGGATGCTGTCACATAGTGAACAAACAGTATTATTTACTGGATAAATGTTTCGGACACAATTTATCCAGACAACTCCACAGTTTTAAGACTTGAATTTATATAGTTGGAATTTTCTCACCTTCTTTGTGATATAGGTAGTAGAATTTACCATATATTCGGAATAGGTGCTGAGTCATGCTTGGGTGCATGTATCAGGTGTTGATTCGATGAACAAAGATTCGGTTATCAATCTCTCTTTCCAATCTGCAAACTCAGTTCTAAGGATTTCCACCTTGTATATATATATAATTGCTTGTCTAGCTACGGGCGAGCCTTTTCCCATAATTTCTATTTTACTGGGTTCTAGTAACCTTGATCCAGCTAAGCTCTTGTACTTGGATAGCTTAATTGACCCTTTCCGACTAGTTTGACCAATAGTGTGATAGTAATGCCAAGACTAAGAATGATAGTAGTGGTAACGATAATAGTGACAATAATTATTATTATTGTTATTATTAGTCCGTTGCGTTCCTAGTGGAACATAGGGCTTCAGTAGCACGTCTCCAGTGCAATCAGTTCTCTCCAATCTTTTGAACCTGGCTCCACGACTGTCCAGAAGCTTTCGTTTCTTCCTCACACCATCTCCTTCATGCCAACCTCAGATGCCTAACTCGTCATCCCCCATTTGCGTTCCACTCGAGGGCCTGATGTGTGATGTCTTCAAACCATCTTCTCAGTGAATGTCCAATCCGATCCATCTCCACTTTCTTTATCTGCATATTTTTGGGGGGATAGGTGGTCTTGGTTGGTTCGTTCCCAGAGTTCCTTGTTACTTATTCTTTCTGGCTATCTGATCTCCATCTTCATTATCGAGTGAGGGTAGGCGGAAGCTGTTGATGACTGTCTTTAGTTTGTTGGAAGTGCTTTTTGTAACGCACCAAGTCTAAATGACTTGACTGACATTAGCGTTGAAAATCCGGATCTTGTTCTTTATGCTGAGTGCAGTAGAGTGGAGTAGATCTACACACTGATTTCAGTTCAATGGAAGCTTGTCTTTCCAATGGTGGCTTTGATATCTTCATCTGTGCCTATGCCGCCTGTAGTTGAAACGATTCTGCCTAGAAAGGTAGGTGGAAGAGACTACTTCCTTTAAGTTTCTCCCGTTGATGGTAATTAGAGCTTGTTGGTGGTGGTGGCGTTGACGTTGGTTCGATATCTTCATTACCTGTGTCTTCTCTACGTTCACCTGAGGAAGTCCCGTCTTCGCTGTCTGGCCTCTTCTGCCAACTTATTAGTTTTCACCTGTAGATCTTCGAGTTTATACAATCATATATATATATATATATATATATATATATATATATATATATATATATATATATATATATATGAAACCAATGCGTTGTATATTATTTCTGCTTTTGTGAATACTTGGATAACTGTGATTTCTTTTACTGCACCTAGTGCATATGTTGAATTCATCCACTGGTCAGTGTAAAGTTTTTCTCCTTCCATCTATAGTTGCATGCATCATATGCTTATTTTCACTATAAGTAAAGATTACCGTAGAAATTGACTATGTGTAGAGCAGGTTAAAAGAACAATACAGTATTTTTTTTTTAATCAAATATTATCGGTTGAATCTAATAGAATCAGCAAGCAAACGAAATATTTGCATAAGTTGTTATGCTGTGGTATGTGCGTGAGTGGATAACCTTCAGATTTTTCATCGTTGGCGTTCATTCGATGCGTTGGTAATAATGAAGGCGGTAAGATGACATCAACCCTAATCGACCAACCTGCTGTTGGTACTTTTTCTCTAAACTTCCGATTGTTTTAATTGTTCATGAATGTTTTATTTTGCTCTGGAAGATTTGGACATTTATACCGCACACCTTGACAAAACCAAAATAATTGAACTTAGGGGTTTGTTGGGATTTTGTGATTTTTCAAGTTGGTATTCATCATGGACTGACTGACATCAGTTGGAGGAACATTGAAAATCTGGTGACTAGCTTCTAGAGGTGATTCCTAAAGTTCCAGTGAGAGAATTCGCGGCCAGTGGGTCAAACCTGGTGGACATGACAAATACTCACTTATGACATTGGGTAATGGTAGCGCTGTATCGTGAACTGGCAGAAGTTGGAGATATGGACCATTGGATGTCAACTCATTGGCAACGCAATGACTGCAGAACTTGAAGGTCCTGCGTTCGATCCCTGGCGGGATGGGACGGGGTTATGAATGCGCGCTGCTGAAGAGTCCCATACTGGGACGAAACAGATGTCCAGTACTCCTAGATTTGCAATGTTCCTCCAACTGATGTCAGTCCATGATGAATTCTAACTTAGAGTTAATAAATCCTCAGAAACCTTCAAATATATTACTGACAAAATCAACGTAGGGTTTCACATAAAGGTGAATCGGCTTAAGTTGCCACACTTCAAATAGTATACAAAGAATAGGTGGATAGAAAAGGACTGATCCTAAAAGCGACAAAGTTGTGTGAGAAAACAAGCAGTTTGAAGATAACAGTTAGTGCAACTATTCAAACTCGAGAAGGCGCCATGTAGTGGGTGCAAATGCGCTATTGTGACCGATTTTCAGCCATATCACCAAAAGTTCTCAATTAATGATTCCTTTCGTCCTGAAGACCCCAACCATGCATTCCACATCTTCCAACACATCTAAGACCAACAGTTAGTGACCATCCTCTGGTGCCAAGTCTTGATCTGCCCCCCCCAGACCCTTCTTTTAATTCAGTGCAACTTTACGTAGCATTTCAAGACGTGGTAGGCGGTGGCTCAGTAGGATATCTCTCTAGAAATGAAGCAAGTTAGCAAATGTCGAACTGGCCTTCTGTATTGAAGCTGGGATTTCTTCAAGCATTGTTCAGTCTGTTTAGAGTGATGCAACTCCCCAAGTAAGTGAAGAGGTTGACAATTTCCATCACCTTACTCCTCATCATTAAACTGGAAGTGCTTGCAACTGACCAATCTTGGAGCATTATCTCAGATTTGACATGTGTCAGCGAAATGTGTGCAAGCCAGATATACTTAGATCTCTGTTCAACGCTTTCAGAAGATCCTGCAGTTTGTCAGCAGCTTCATCTAGCAGGTCAGTATCATATCCATACTCCAAGTCAATCACATGACCGCCAGGGAGTAGGTCAATCCCTGTAAAGTGATTCCATTCAACTGTAATATGTATCCAAACGTCTGATTCGATTATACTAGCATGACTCACATTATGCTTTTTACAATCATTATCATCAATATAGGACCAGGCATTACTGCGTAACGGTCTGAGTAGTCAAACACCTGAAGCCTTCCCATGTCTTCCACCTTCAATCGCCATGTTTCACAGCCATACAGCAGTAGAAGAGAGTGGACTGCTGTGTAGTACACGCGACTCTTAATAAACAATCGGATATGGTGGCGTAAGTTGACAAAAGCCAGCCGAGTCTTTTGTATTCTGCGGAAATGTCGTCGGCCACTAAGTCACTAGGGCTGATCCTACTTCCAAGGTAAGTGAAGTGGTTAAAGCACTCAACCACTACCCTCTCTGTTGTTGGCTGAGGCACCGTTGAAGACCAATCCTGGAGCAACAATTTGCGTTTGGGTGGTGAGAAACGCATCCAAACCTTTCTCAAACTGCCACTCAAATTGTCCAGAAGGCTCTACATCTTGTCAGTGTCTTCACCTAACAGGACTATGTCATCTGAGTGTTCTAGGTCTAACGAAAATTCTCCTGCGATTAGGTCAACGTCTGTATAATCAGGTGACGAGAGGGAGACTTCCATAAGAATATTAATGATAAAACTGAATAAGAATGGAGACAGTTGGTAACCTTGACGGACACCACTCGACGAGTACAGCTTTTTTTGGATATCTTACCATAGGCTCTAACGCGCTTACACGTTTTCGAGTAGAAAGCCTTCAATAAGCCTTACAGTATGTCTAGTGAATTGCTTCGAGATGAAATTTCGTGTAGTTTTAATGAACTCAAGGGATAAAATGAATAAAATTACTCCAATTAAATATTGTTTAGTTACTATGGTTTCTTCTTGTTCTCGCGATATCCTCAACAGGATCAAATGTTTCTGAGTTAGGATTCATTATGGTCTGACATCATCTGGAGAAACATTGTAAAGCTGGAACTCTTCAGCAGTACACACCCATGACCTCGCCAGGGGTCGAACCCAGTGCCTTCAGGTTCCGTGGCCATCATGTTACCAACCTGGAGTCAATAATTAAATCTCCATAAACCTTCAGATAGAATTTATCTAGCGCTCATTGGTGACTAGTTTCGAGAGGTGATTCCTGAAGTTCCAATAAAAAGCCGTGACGTGACCAGTGGAGTCAACCAAGTCGAACATGAGGACAGTTACTCAACGACGACATTGAGTGATGGTCGCGCTATGTCGTGAACTGATAGAAGAAGGAGATGTGGACCACTGGACTGCGACTGAGTGGCTCAATGGCAAGGTGCTGGTCATGGGACCTAAAGGTTCCGGGTTCGACCCCTGACTGGGTCGTCGATCCGCACTGCCGAGGAGTCCCATACTAGGACGTGACAGCCGGCTGTTGAGTGCTCCCAAGTTTCCAATGTTCCTTCAACTGATGTCAGTCTAAGATGAATTCCAAATTATAATCGTTATTTATCAAAAATGTTTCTTCCCATGCTACTAACAACTTGGGGTTATTGGAGAGCTCTTTCGCCCTCGTATGTTACACCACGACAGTAGGCATCCACAACATGAACATGCACCAAACTCGAAAATTTCATATCTTGCGACGAAGACGTTAACTATTCAACCAGTTGGTCGAAGTTTAGAGGTTCACAATCTCCTAATTCCTCTCAATTTGCGATATCCCAGAAGCATCCACAAACATCTTCACTTGACTTCTGGTAAGATGAAATCTCCACAGACTTTAAATTGAATACCTATTTAGTGCTCCATAGTGAGAAGCACGTCGCAAATGTCTAATGAGAAGCCATGACCTGTGGTACCAAACAGTTAGTAGTGAAGCGGATGTCAACAGAATACAAGAGAAGAGCACTATGGACTATTGGATTACAACTCAGTGGATGAATATCTAACGCTTTCGCTACATAACTCAAACGTCGTTGGTATATACTGATGAAGACTCCTACTCCAGGACAAAATAGCTACCCATTGCTCCCAGTTTTTCAATTCTTCTCTAACTGATGTCAGTCCGTGATGAATACTAACTTGGAAAGAGGAAATATTAGTTCTTCTCCTCCTCCTCCTCATCATCATAGCAAAACGACATTTCAGACGTGGAAAAAAAGGGGTGTTGGGCTTACAATCGACAATAAAAAAGGAGGCGGAAGAATGTTGTTTTACACTTTACTATCTTTAATTCATCTATTTATGCTTAAATGTAGTCATCTTTACATAGAGACACTGCTTGGTAATGACAATAGCGGTGTGATGCAATGCGACACGATTTGGTGCAGTTAGTTCTAGACTAAAAGAAGCAGTACTGATGTGAGAAACAACAATGTTACAATGTAGTATGAGTAATACATACAAAAATTGTTGCGTAATTCTACGCTGACAAGTTTTGATAGATTCAATTATATCAGTGCTCATTGGTGACTAGCATTGAAAGATGATTCTTGAAGTTCCAATGAGAAATCGTGACCTCTGGAATCAACGAAATCGAACGTAGAGACATTTCATGGAGGTTATGCTACATCTTGAACTGACAGAAGTAGGAAGTATAGACCATTGGATTCCGACTCAATGGTAACGTGCTGGCCACGAAACGTGAAGGTCATGGGTTCGCATTTCTGAAAAGTTCCATAGTAGGACAAAACGGTCAATTATCCAGTGTTCACAGGTTTCCAATTTTTCTTCAACCAATCAGTAAACCTCCACAAACTTTCACATAGGATCAAATATGTTTATGAATTGATAAGCTTGTCTAGTTTACTCCCAAGTTGTATTTCTGGTTCTAATTTAACTTTTAAGCCTAACTTGCAGTTCATCTATTTTAGTTGTGTATTTTTGTTATTATTGTTGTTGTTGTTGCTTTCATTTATACCCCTCTAGCGACATGTAAAGATAAAGCATACCTTCTTTTTGAGGATAAACTTGAAAAGTTGACACTACGATTGGATAATATCGATTCTGCTGGAGATTCAGCCATACGGAATAAACGTCGAGAAGTGATATTGTCTATTCAAAGTGTTCTAAATAGTTTAGAGGATAAACTGACTAATCAACTGATTGTAGTGAAATGGGAATCAGATAGTCATAATCTATCATCTGTTGACAATAATACCGAACCTCAAGATTCTGAACAACAACAACAACTTGACTGTGAAACAGTTACTCATCAAACTTTTAACAAAGATAATCAACATGAATGAAGAACGCATAACTGACTCACCTTCATCGTATTTCTATTCTTAGAAGGTAGCAGTAGGCAGGCGTATAGCCAACTTCTTATTTTTCTCATTTCTTTTCATTGGATTAATTGGTTTCCTGTACAAAACAGAATAATAATCATAATATCTTTTCCATTATATTATCTGCAAGCTTGTTGGAATGAAAGAGATAACAATTCAGATATTTCTTAGTGATTTTAATATGTTCATCTCTTCGTGCTTCAATTCGCTTGTAGAGAATAATCTCCAATGAAGTTTCTGTTTATTTACCTTATCTTCAGCATCATCTCTCCCTCCCTCCTTGTTACTTTTTTCAGATCTACTGCAAGTTTTTTCTTTAGTGAATTTTTAGATCCCAACCGGTAGTTGCTACCACGACGTGGTAGTTGGATTTGCCTGAATGGCTTTATTCCCTCCAGGTTCTACCATGTCAAACATATCTGTTGGATTGTGGTTCTTCCAGAAGCAGTTAGCGTTGTAATGTAAATTTCTACACTGTGATGAGAGTGAAGGCGAAGACGTATTGCTGCCAGGTGGATGGGATGTGACAGCAGTAAGAATGACCAGTAGTACCATGCTGATGCTACCTTCTAGGTGTGAAAGAGAAATTAAAAAAGGTTGGACCAAAAAATACCACACTTCTTTTCCCCTCCTGCCCCATGGTCTCCTGGTGTCGATGACGTTAGAACGATCAAATCTCATAACAGCTTTTCCTCCATAGGCTGCATGTGACTTGTGTGGATCAGATATCGAGCAGGTTTCTTTAGTCATCATAGCGTCTAGTGAGATAATAGTTTGCTTAGAAAGGAAAAGTTAAATGATAAAAACCATCCTAGGGAATCCCTTAGGAATTCATAGCCTTAGTTGGTGTGTTTTGTTTTTTCGGAGGTTGTTCTGGATATTATTCCTTAGGATTGATACAGTTCATTTACGGAAGCTGAGGTGGGGAGCATCTTCATTCATTCAGAGTATTCATTGTCATCGAAGAATGATTACTTAGCTTTCATTTCATCCGATGACCTGACCGATAGCTGCTACCTTGACGTAGTGACGGGCTATGCTGGTAGAACCCTCTTTCTCTTGACAAAAAGCAGTTATCGTTGTAGTGTAAACTGCCACACTATGATGCGGGTCTGAAGGCGAAGTCATACTGCTACTAGGTGGATGGGACATGACAGCTGTAAGATCTTTCCTTCGGATGATCGGTAGTGCCACGTTGATGCTGCCTTCCCAATGGAAGAGGGGGTTAGAAAAGGTTCGCCGTGAAAATAACACACCCCATGGTTTCTCGGTACCCGGTGATGTGGGTTTTTTCTAACCGACGTTAGAACAACTAAACCTCGAAACAATAACCCGCTAAAGGTTGCATTTGACAGGCCTGAAGCAGATATCCTTTCGGCCCTATGGTCACACAAATCTATCAGAGGAAATAGCCTCCCACGGTATGGACAGCCAAGAAGTGTTAACCACCGAAATATCTTCCAAACAAGTGAACCAACACTGGTGATTCCATATCGCAAAGTCACATAGGGAGAAACCCGAAGAAAGACGTGAATATTATTACTTGTCCCTTGGGTTCCAAGTGGAACATAGGGCTTCAGTAACACGTCGTCATTTCACTCTGGCTCCACCACTACCCAGAAGCTTTTATTTCTTCCTCACATGATCTCCTTCATGTCACCCCCGGAAGCCCGACTCATCGTTTCCCATTTGGGTTCCACTTGAGGGCCTGGCACGTTAGGTCCTCAAACCGTCTTCTCAGTGTATGTCCAATCCGATCCATCTCCACTCTCTTCTGCATATTTGATGGTTGATAGGTATTTGGTTCGTTGCCAGGCCAGAGCTCCTTGTTGCTTATTCTTTCTGGCCTTCTGATCTGATCTTCAGCATCGAGTGAGTGTGGGCGGAAGCTGTTGATGATTGTCTGTAGTTTGTTGGAAGTGCTTTTCGTGATGCGCCAAGTCTCTGAACCGTATAGAAGAACTGACTTTATCGTTGGTTTTGAAAATCCGGATCTTGTTCTTCATGCTGAGTGCAGTGGAGTGGAGTAGATCTACACACTGATCTCAGGTTAATGTAAGCTTGTCTTTCCGATGGTGGCTTTGATATCTTCATCTGTGCCTATGCCGCCTGTAGTTGAAATGATTCTGCCTAGAAAGGTAGGTGGAAGAGACTACTTCCTTTAAGTTTCTCCCGTTGATGGTTATTAGTGCTTGTTGTTGGTTGGTTGGTTATATTCATCACCTCTGTCTTCTTTGCATTCACTTGAAGTCTCGTCTTCGCTGCCTCTTCCACCAACCTGTTAGTTTTCGGCTGTAGTTCTTCGATCTTGTACGACATTAGACATAAATCAGCATCGGCGAAATCCAAATCCTTTAGAGTCTTTTCATTGGTCCAGCGTATGTCCATCTTCTCACTCCTCACGGTTTCTCCATGATCTAGTCCAGTCTTCCACAGTCAAGAATATCATGGGTGATAGTAGACAGCCTTGTTTTACTCCTGTCTTCTCTTCAAAGACGTCACTGAGATTCTCATTGTAAATCATTTGGCATATGGCGTCATCATATAGCTGTTGAATGAGATTGATAAAGGTTTGTGGTATTCCGTAGTGTTGAAGCAGTTGCCAAATTACTTCTCGGTCGACGCTGTCGAAGGCTTTTTTAAAGTCAATGAAGTTGAGGTAGAGAGTTGACTGCCATTCTATACTCTGTTGTATGGTGCGAAGCGTTGCAATTTGATCCGCACATGATTTGTTTTTCAGGAAGCCAGCCTGTTCCGGTCATAATTTCGAATGCATAGCAGTTTTTAGTCTCTCCAGGATGATGCGGCTTAATATTTTGCTTGGGGTGGATAGAGATGGAGCATGATTCCGCGCCAGTTCTTTTAAAGACTTAGACTTCCCTTCTTTTGCAGTTTGACAAGGTAACCCTTCTAATCAGAAGGTACCTTTCCTTCCTTCTTTGTAAACCTTCTGCAATGGTGGTGTGAACATGTCCACTGTTGTCTCTGCGTCTGTTTTCAGTGCTACTGGAGTAATTCCATGTGGTCCTACCGATCTCCCGGTTTTCAACAACTTCATTGCGTTCAGGACATCTGCTTTTGTCGGAGGGTTTGTGTTCACTGATAGTACTGTGCTACTGGTGGTACTTCTGGACGAGTTGCAGGTAGCAGTGGTGGTGTTTCTTGAAATAAGAGTTTTTTGAAGTGATCAGCCCATCGTTTCTTTGATCCTCTTCTTTGGTAACTAAGTTTCTTTCACTATCTTTCATTGGTTTCATTTGTGTCGATCTCTTCTCAGATAGCGACTTGGTTATTTGATATAGTGTTGTCAAGTCTCTCCTACCTTCAGTCTGTTCTGCCGCAGTTGCAAGTGTGTCGTAGAAGTGTCTTTGCACGCACTTTTCACTTCTTTGTCCAGTGTTTTATACATTGTACTCAGATCCTCTTCTCGTTGTGCATCCTTGCACTGGTTTATCTTCTGCTTCACTATCTACCCCTCTTCTATCAGCTTTCATGTGTCCGTCGAGATCCATTCCTCATCCTCTTTCTTCTTCCTTTCTAATACAGTTACCCAGGTTTCTTTCCACATCTCTTTCTAAGATTCTCAGTGTTTTTCCACACAGGTTTCCTTGAGGAGGTCGCCTAATGTCTCCCCTCTTTTCCTGATGGCTGACGTGAAAATGTTCGTAGTAGTTTCGTCCTTCAGTTTCTGTTTTAGGTGTTGAACTGGAACTGTGGTCTATCACCAGCTTGTTTGAAGGCTTTCAACTTGGTTTTGAAGGTAGGTTCGCTGCAATAGATAGTGAGTGAGTGGTGTTAACCTACATCTGCTCCCCTTCTTGATCTGATCTTGTGTCCAGTAGGCTGACTGCGTCTCGACTTTCTTGATATTGAGATGAAGTCGATCTGATTTTTAGTGTAGTGTGTCTTGGTGTCTGGTGAAGTGAAATCCGTATCGGTCGCTTTGTGAATATCTTTTTTAGTTGTACACGGTGCCTGCAATCGCGGAATGATTAGATGCGCAGAAGTCTGCAAACAGTTCTCCATTCTCATTCATGATTTCACCGAGTGCCTCTCGACCCATGACTGGTTCTCTTCCTGTGTTGTCTGCTCCGAGTTTGGCACTGATGTCACCCGACTCATTAGAATTTTGATGTCACCACCTGGGGTGGAGTCTTGTCGAGTGCTGACTGTAGTTGTCTCTGTAGAATTTCTTCTTTTCTTGGTCCGCGTCTGCATTATTTGTAGCGTATCATTGTAAATTTGTTTTGTTCTTACTGTCATGATGTTGATCGTGGAGGAGATTGGTTGGCGCTGCATGAGAGCCTTTGATGCTGTTGGGGACATCATGATAGCGACTCGAGAACTCAGTGTGCTCATGGTTGTTATCTGGGTGACAATATCATCATCGGAGTAGATTATTGAGTTTGCAGTTGACAGTTTGGAGAGTCGACTTGTATTGCATCTGATTTCTCAGATTCGTAACACTTCTATGCTATACCTTCTCATCTCGTTTGCAATCCGTGCAGTGTTTCCAGCCATCCATCTTCAGACGTTGTGCAGACATTCGATGTCCCCATGTTTACTTTCACGTTCATGGAGAGAAGATACATGGACCAATTGGCTTCCCGAAGGCTTTCACCAAGTGGTGTGATTTTGTTTGTCCGATTCCAGTGAGGAATAAGTTTATTTATTATATATTCTGTGTGGTTTGTAGTATTTTTGGTGATTGTATTGGTTTTCTGAGGTGGAGTTGCTAGCGGTTTGCCCAACCTTCGTTGTTTATCCGGGCTTAAGACTACCATGGTACTAAATATTATATTAGCTAATTCCAGCTGCTTGAATAGACGAAATGGAATTGAGTTGGCTGTACCTTATTAGATAAAGACGTGAAGAAATCCAAACAAACATTATTAGTTATGTTGTATTTTATTTACTTTCTATTCCTAATTACATTAGTTTGTCATCTTTATTATTAGTTATTCTGTGGTAATAAAGAAAGAAATTTGCTAGGGAAATCGATTCTTATCGACCTCATTTCATGTTGTTGTTATTTTTTATCTGTAGAGAAAAATGACTTGTATATCTTGTGTGTTTTCGTGTCACTTACAGAAAGCACATTCTTCACGTAAATCGAAAATTTTGA